GACTTTTAGACGAACTTGGGCTGAGAATAGTTTTTGAGATTTCAATTTGTGAATTAAAATCTGAGAGTTCTCGTCTAAGAATATGCAAGACGGTTGATTTATGAATTTATTCTCAGAAACTTATTTTTGGTTTTTCCTCATCATCTTAGAGAATTTTTAAATTTGCAGTTTTTGCACATTTTGTACAGTTAATTTTATTATTTTTTTTAATATTATTTTTTTGGCCCTTTCTTGTTGTGATTTGGAGTGTTCCCTTTTGCTGCCGTATCACAATAACTTCCCAGGTCTGGAATAAATAAAGTATTTCTATTTCTATTCTATTCTATTCTATTCTAGTAATCTTCTTGTAAATTTGTGGCACGAATTTATAATGTAATGTTAAAATACGAACATTTTTCTTAGCAGTTTATGAGAATATTGAATTTTATAATCTTAGTGAATATGCAGATTTTGTTTATATTAATTTGTGAAGTTAATCTCAGTGTTTCAGTTTGTTTTCTCTCATAAATTTATCTCTTAATGTGATAATGATTTTAAACTTTTTGAAAAAAAAAAAAAAGTATGGAAACAACTTTAATATCTGAGCAGTGAAGCTCCAGCAGAATGCAGAGTCACCGTGGTTCACAGATGTTGGTAACATCTGCAGGAAACATGCTGCACAGATTAATTACACTTTTTTTCTCCCAATTCTTGAGAAATAAATAATCGGAAAATTTCACATTTTTTCATTTTCTTTCTTTCTTTCTTTCTCTCTTTTTTTATTTTTTTTTTTAAATTTAAGGCATTACAACTTTGTCATTTCATATTAAAAAAATAAAGAGAGTTTTTGCTTCTTCTGTTCCTGGTTGTTCTGTTTCCACAGACTTTTTAGTCAAAACTTATAAAAATGTGACAGAAGTGGAAAAAAGCTCCAAACAACAGAAACACCTTCAGAGCTCAGAGGGTAAAATGTGAAGCTCCTCCTCCTCCCTGTAACCGTCCGGTCTGCGTCTCACTGCTGCTCTGACTCTATTTAACGTAGAACGAATGAAGCCGACCTCACAGAACACCGAACACGTCCTCTGCACTCGTGTTTGGTCGTACGAGAGCTTTTCAAGAGCTCTTTGGAAATCTAAACATGCAGGTGAAGCGTGGAGGTGCAGCATCAGTAAACAGAGCGGTCGGTCCGCCGCAAACATTTCAAATACGCATAAATCAGCTGAAGGAAGTCTCTGTACGAAACCAAGCAGAGTTACACAAGTCTGGGTAAAAGGGGGGAAAAAAATCTGCATCAGTTTCCGAGATACTGGATTTACAAGCAACAACATCGCATCATGAATGTTCACCTGAGGTTTAGGGAGGTGAGCGACTGCAGGCCGATGACGCTGTCCGGGATGGTCCTGATGCAGTTGTGATACAGGTTTAGTGTCTCCAAGGCAACCAGGTGGCAGACCTCCGAGGGGACGTCGGTCAGCCGGTTCTTCGACAGATCTGCAGCGAGGAAACAGAGCGAGTTAAGTATAAACGAGTTCAAAAGCAAAAATAATGTCGACGTAGAGCAGTGAAATGTGTTTTGTTCTGCAGCGTCTTCACCTGCAGACGTCACAGAACCACAGATTAAATTAAACAAATCACAGACGTTTATCGGCCTAAACTGTATTAAAACATTAGAAAAATGAAGGTAGCGTTGCACATTTTATCCCTGTTGCATGGTTAGTGCCTTAACCTCTTTAGACCCGAGTTTCAGTTTCGTTTTTTTCAGTTTTTTTTTTTAGAGTTTTAGACGATTTTTTAAAAATTCAGTATTGCTTTATTTCCAGATTGGCCGCCTGATCTCTGGATTTGACCATGAAAACTAATAAGAAAAAATCCTGAGCTGTAGGAATGCAGTATTTGGTGATCTGTGATCACTTCTTTTCCAATTCCAGTCTATGGGAGCCAGGGCTTTTTGGAGCCAGGACTAGTGGACGTAGTGATACTGCAGGTTTTTGGCTTCATGTTCAGGGCCGGTTGCTACGTCCATCTTTTAAACAGTCTATGATGAAAATGCAACAGGAGCAAACACCAAGAGAAAAATCTTTGAAGGAAAACAGCTGCAGCTCGAAAAGTGTCTTCCAAAGGTTAGACTGAGGCAGTGAATGGACCTCCATAGAGGCTCTCAAACGTTCAAGCTTTGTCTGGAGGATTTTCTACGAGCTTGAAGATCCAAATCGAGCCTGTTCGTCACCACAGACTTGTCCCGGCCGGTGTTTGGCTGAGGAGCAGCTTCTGGAGGCCGCTGACTTCACATCCGGCTGCCGCTCGGCAACAACAACATCAACTTGAGTTATCAGCGGCGGCCAAATAAGGCCAAGAAATGTCAGGCCAATTATTCCCACATTGTTCTGCGGAGGCCGAACGTCGCAGCCTCTCGAACAAAAAGAACACGTTTTGTTTTTGTTAACGGAGCGAGAACAGGACAAGAGTTCATTTCCTCCGGTGGCAACAATCGCGGAAAAAGGTGTGTTGTGCTATTGTGTGTGCGCGGATTAAAAACCCGCCCGGGCATTAACCGCATCTCTGCTTCGTTTGTCGTGTCGATGTTCCGGAGTCACCAGGAAACGCGAGAAACAACATCAGTCGCTGCAAAAGTGCCGCCTGACCGGAGAGCAGGAATCTGGAGCTCCGAGTCCGGCCAAGTCGCTCTCCCACACGGACACGAGACCGGCGCTGGTGCTGCTTCAGGGGGATTCTTAGCGACGCCACGGGGACGTCTGACGGAGCACCGGAGGAAAATCAAAACAGCACTTCGGTTTATAGCCACTTCTGTTAACTGAGGTTTCAGTTACTCAAGAACGAGGGACGTTTCTGTGCAACAAACGGTCCGAAAATGTGCAGATTTCTGCCGAATGAGGAACAACAAACCTTCACTGTAAGAGAACTGGCCGTCCTCCCAAAGGCCCATTCTGAGCAGGAAGACCCTCAAACTGGAGAAACTGGAACCAGAGGTTGTTCTAATGATCAAGTAATGAAACAGTGATGCTGATGACTGACCAAGAACAGCTCTGAACAGAAATAAAACGCCTCTTTGTGTCACGTATACGTTTGGTTTGGTGCATTTTATTAACTTACTAAAGTATTTTCTAGGCGTCTTTGCATTTTTACTCACTGTGGGCTCGTTTTTTTTTACTGCAAGTCCTGGAAGCAGCACGACACTGAGTACAAGTAGAGAAATGTCACATGAATTCTGTGCAGTTTGACTCAGTCATGATGCCATGAATCACAAAAACAACACATAAAAATTTAATTTCTTTAATTTATTTGAAAAAATATCTATATTTCTGATATGCCCAGAGGTGATACAAATGCTGGGGAGAACAGTCGACTCTGCATAATATATATATTTCACCAATTTTTCATTTTTACTGTGTCCCTACACTTGCCTCCCATCAGCTCTGTGTTTACACTGACTGCAGCTCAGCCGAGAAGTTAAAGAATTTTTGCCAAATATCAGCTGGTCACAGTGAAGTCGATAATGGTTCCACTGATGCGCCGATTAGCAGAGAATTTTTTGTTTTTTATAGAATCTGGTTTCAGGAAACAGTTCATTTTTGGCGACTTTTTTTTAGCGTAATCGTTTTATGTTTTCTACAGAATGCTGTTCCAGTTCGACACAGTTATGATGCCATGAATAATAAAAACAATGGGAAAAAACTGAATTTTTCTCATTTATTTTGCAAAATTTATTTTTTTAAAAAGTGCCCAAAGGTGTAACAAATACTGGGAAAAAAGGCGACTGGATGTAATGTATATATTTGACCAATTTAGCATTTTTAATCTGTCCCTACACTTGCCTCACATCCACACCAATGGGTCCACTGCTGCGCCAATTAGCGCAGAATTTTTAGTTTTTTTAATATTATTTTTGGCAACGTTTTGTTTCTTACAGAATGCTGTGCAAGCAGCTTATTTTTGCATATTTATTCTTTTTTTTTTTTTAAGACACGTCAATTCTAAGATGTCAATATAAGGATCGGTATCCATCAAGGAAATATTTTTATTCTTATTTTTTTAGCTAATCTACAATACGTCAGGTGTGTGTTACGGTGGAAAATGGTTTCAGGAAATTCTAAATATTAAATGAGGCCAAAAAAAACCCAACCTTGATCCATCAGTCCCTGTTTCTATGACGTCATTGTTTTTGGTACAAACACTCACCAGTGTGTACTCACAAAGACAAAATAAAAAAACATAACCGCATTTCACAGAGTTATTTTCTGACTGGAGTTGTTGGAGCCCACAGACGAACCCGACTGCAGCGTTGCATCATGGGCCGAGCGCGCTCACAGGAAGTGCTATTTAAAACAGCGCGACGCAGAAACAAAGAGCCAGTCAGTCCCGCTTTCATCCTGCCAGCAAACAACTATTCCTGGCAGAGCGGCGTCCATCAGCTCCCTCTAACCTCCACGAGAAGCCTCACGCCGCCGCGACCCGAACGAACTCCTGCCGACGCTTCAAGGACACGGCGGCCTCGCAGACACACATCTGTCGGGTTGGATTGGAACCCGTCTGACATGTGAGCTGACAGACGTGATGATCCGGGCCTCGAGGCTTTTACCCCCCACTGACCCACACGGGGCTTCCCTTCACCACCGCCAGCGTCCCAGTTACCAACGAGGATCCTGGTTTTGTGTTCGCCCACGTTAGCATCACGACCGAAGGCCCTTTGTTCCTGAACATGCACGCTGGAGCTCAGGCAATTTGAGGCATTTTAGTATCAGATGATAGAGTCAGCAGGTTGGAAAGGCATGTTATCTTTTAAAAAAATCACCAAAATGACACCGTTTATCACCACAGAAACTGGAAAAACTGAGAACATGTGCCGGGTGTCTAATTACTCAACTGTGAGGTGAAAACAAACCAAATTCAAGCTTAACATCTTGATATTTTATGAAATTCACTTTGTCTCATTTAAAAAATTCCCCAAAAATTAATTGTTTGCTATGATCGGATTCTATAAAAAAGAAAAAATTCTGCGCTCCTCGGCCCAGCCGTGACACCATGACTGACTCTGCTGTGATTCACGGTTAGGTGACAAAAATTCGGGACATTTTCAGCTGTGTTTATACAAAACGCATAAAAGCAAGTATGAAAACAAATTAGAAATGTCAGTCATGAAGCGTCTACAGGATGCAGAGTCACTCGTTTTATTGGGAACACCTGTGGGAACTGTAAAAACAGTTCTACATATTTACTGCAAGTTTTATTTGGTAACTTAAATCAAATAGAAATGATTATTTTTAAGATGTATGGTCGTGTAATAGTGTAACGCTGAAGAGACAGTTGGGAATTTAAGCTTAAAATCTTGATATTTCCTCAACCTCACTTTGTGTCATTTAGAAATTCACCAAAAATAAATTCTTTGCTGTGACCAAATTCTATAAAAGTCAAAAAATTCTGCTCTATTTGACGAAACCGAGAAGCTATAATTGACTCAGCAGTCATGTGACAAAATATCTGGAAATTTTCAGCTAAACTGCAGGCAGTGTTTAGACAGAACCCCGTGGGAAGCAAGTATGAAAACAAGTTAAACACGTAAATTGTAAAATATCTACAGTATGTAGAGTTTTTATTATTATTATTATTATTATTACTATTATTATTATTATTTTTGGAAAAACCTGTGAGTGCCTTTAAATGTTCTGCAACTTTACTGCGGGTTTTTAAATTGTTTGTAAAATAAATTAAACAGATTAAATACAATTAAACAGATTAAATACGATAAATTAGATTAAATTCAACTGTTGTTTCTGCCTTTGTTCATGATTTATGGTACTGTGATGGTGTAACACTGGACAGACGACATTTCTAAGAATTTAAACTTAAAATTTTGATGTTTCTTTAAACTCACTTTGTTGTTTTTAAACATTCACCACAAATAAATTGTTTGCTTTAAATAAATTCCATAAAAATCAAAAAATTCTGCTCTATTTGGCGAAACCGAGAAATTTGAACTGACTCAGATGTGATTTACAGTCATGTGATAAAAATTCAGGGAGTTTTCAGCTGAACTGCAGGCGGTGATAACACAGAACCCACAGGAAGCAAGTTAAACGTGTAAACTGTAAAATATCTATAGTGTTTAGAGTTGCTTTTTTTTTTATTGAGAATCCCTGCAGGTACTAAAAAACAAGTTCTACATGTTTATTTCAGGTTTTTTACATATATATATTTTTTTACAAATTAATTAATATAAATTCAAGTTGTATTTCTTTGTCCTTTAATGATTTACAGTCCTGTCACTGTGTCACGCTGCCCAGACAACATTTCTACTTCTGTCTCCTTCTAATCGCGGTTGTTCTGTTTCCAAAGAGCTGCAGGACTTCATGTCACAGTGAAAAACGAGCCCACGGGGAGGAAAAATGTTTCACGAGCAAAAGAAAACCACCTCAAAGTTGCTCAGAAGAAGGCTCAGCTCATCGTCGGCTCAACACAACAAGCAGTCATGTCCC